CATGGCTCCTTCTATATATCCTCAAAGTGGAAACAAACTTGGTTTTTACTGATGCTACCTTCATTTCAACTATTTTTAGTTTTCTAATTTCTGAAGTGAAGACTGAGGTTAGCAAACTGAAGTATCATCTTAATGGTTTTTAAAAATGTTTGAGAAACTGTGCTATTTTTAGATTCAGTTAACTTAACAACAGTTGACAAATCATAGTAAGCAGGTCAAGCATCTGAGAAGACTGGATGATAAATTAAAACACTATGCATGGCTGGGCGTGGTGGCTCACGCCTGTCATCCCAGCACTTTGGGAGGCTGAGATGGGCAGATTGCCTGAGGTAAGGAGTTTGAGACCAGCCTGGCCAACATGGTGAAACCCCCACTCTACTAAAAATACAAAAATTAGCTGGACATGGTGGCACGCCTGTAATCTCAGCTACTTGGGAGGCTGGGGCAGGAGAATTGCTTGAGCCTGGGAGGCAGAAGTTGCAGTGAGCTGAGATCATGCCATTGCACTGTATACAGCCTGGGTGACAAAAGCAAAGCTCTGTCTCCAAACAAACAAACAAACAAAAAACACTAAGCACAAGCATTCTTATTAATGTGCAATAAGCATTCTTATTAAACAATGTGCAATATGTGTGCCAAGTAGGAAGTTTTTATGGTTCACTGGACTGTATGCCAGATACTTCAAAGAACATTCCAAAGTGATAATCTGACTTGCTGAAGTTTAAAGTTAAGCCTCAAACACCATAGTTTGTCCTTTTTAAAAAAAATTTATGAATTTTTGTTATTTATAATAGTATTGAGACTTTTATAGGACAATTAATTCAGTTTCTATGAGTCAATAACATGCATTTTCTAAAGAGAGTGAAAGTAAAAAGGAGGGAAAAAAAGCAGTGTCCTGGATTAAAAGAGAACTAAAAGATCTAACAACCAAATGCATTGTGTGGAACTTAGTGAGATCCTGATTCAAATGAATCAACTGTAAAAAGACATTTTTGACATAATCAAGGATATCTGATTATGGAATTGATATTAGATATTACTAATACATTATTAGTTTAATGAACATGGCTTTGTAGTATGTAAGAAAATGTTCATATCTTAGAGATGGATCCTTGATTAATGAACGAACAAAATTGCACAATATTTAGGATTTGCTTTAAAATATTACAGCATAGAAAAAAAAGTCAGGTGATGTGAATATTGGCAAACAAGAATTACTGAATCAAAGTCATGGATGTTTATTGTGCTATTCTCTTATGTAAGTTTGACTTTTTCAAAATGAAAAGTTTTTAACAAAATACTCAAAACATTCAAAGAAGGGGAGGGAGTTATGGTTATAACAGTAGACCTTCCAGACTTATGAGGTGGCTATGGTGGTCACCATGAACTGTGTAAACAATTCTTTTTTTTTTTTTTTTTTGAGATGGAGTCTCACTTTGTCGCCCAGGCTAGAGTACAGTGGCGTGATCTCAGCTCACTGCAACCTCCACCTCCCAGGTTCAAGTGATTCTCCTGCCTCAGCTTCCCGTAGCTGGGACTATAGGCGTGTGTCACCACACAAGATAATTTTTGCATTTTTAATAGAGATGGGGTTTCACCATCTTGGCCAGGCTGGTCTCGAACTCCTGACCTCAAGTGATCCACCCATCTCAACCTTCAAAAATTCTTGGATTACAGGCGTGAGCCACCACATCCGGCTCCTGCTTCTACTCTTGACCCTCTCTAGTCATTCTCTACCTACTAGCTATAGCTGTATTTAAGACCATAAATCCAGTCATCTCATTCTTTTCTTTTTCTTTTTTTTTTCTGAGATGGAGTTTCACTCTTATTTGCCCAGGTTGGAGTGCAATGGCATGATCTTGGCTCACTGCAACCTCCGCCTCCTGGGTTCAGGTGATTCTCCTGCCTCAGCCTCCCAAGTAGCTGGGATTACAGGCATGCACTACCATGCCTGGTTAATTTTGTATTTTTTAGTAAAGACAGGGTTTCACCATGGTGGTCAAGCTTGTTTTGAACTCCTGACCTCATCTGATCCACCCACCTCAGTTTCCCAAAGTGCTGGGATTACAGGTGTGAGCCACTGCACCTGGCCTCACTCTTTTCCTAAAACCCTTCAATGGATTCCCATTCCTGGAACACAATCCAAAGCTCTCCTGTGGCTCATGTAGCCCTCTGGGAGCTAGCCCCTGTCTTTTGGACACCACCTGGTTGCATGTGCTCTAGCTTCGTGGCTTCTTTCAGAGCTTAGTGGCCAAGGTCTGCCCTGGTCCATGACCCTCTGAGAGCCGGTTGGGATGTTACTCTTGGCACACCCTTCCCCACTTATTGTTTTTTCCCTTATAGAGTCCAGCTCTCTATCCTCTAGCAATTTATTTGTTTCATGTCTCCACTCTTCTGAAATCTCCATGTGTATTTTGTTTACCACTGTACAGCCAACAGTATTCAATATTTAATCAGTTAAGAAACATTTCTCTTCAAGCTTCCGGTCCCGTAAGTATCAGGTGAATATTGAAATGTAGTTTTGAAATGTTAAAAACAGGGAATTTGGTGACTACTGTCCAAAAAATTGGCCTAAACTTCTGAGGAATTAGTGTTGAGAGAACAGAAGAGGCATTTTGAGAGAAGAAATATCAGAGGGTAGCAAGTGATGATTAGACTGCAGTGCAAAAGCTTACAAAAGGGGAGATGGCAATGCCACTGTGATTCTCTGTCTGTTTGAATTCATTAATCTCTATGTCCCTGTGATGCCCTTTCTGCTCAGTCGGTGCCCAGACTTCTGTCTGAATTCTCTGCTGTGCAGTGAAGCACAGCTCTCACTCACAGGAAGGATCAGGAGACAGGATCCAGATGACTGGCCTGGACCTCTCACTCCCATGCCGGGAGACACAGTTGGTAGGAGACATGCAAAAATGGACATATCACAATCACAGGGAGGTTTTAATGAAGTTATCTAAAGATTGAGAGCGCAAACATACAAAATACGAACAAGATAGTTAACAAATTTGAGCTATTGGATTTATATAAAACTATACATTCATATTATTATTTAAAAAATTTGACACTGCATGGTTCTTATGATGCAACAGGCACTGGTTGTAAGTGCTTTACACTTATTAACTCATTTAAAGAACTGAAGAGTGCACATTCTTTCTTACATTATACAGAACATTTATAAAAGTGGTCATGTACTGGGTCAAAAAGCAAGTCTCAATAGATACCAAAAAATCAGTATCTATAGATCTTATCACATGTAGTAAAAGGACAAAAACACATTAGAAAGCAGTTTCCTTGACAAAGGAAGAAACAGACAGGGAGAGCAGGAGATGGGTGCAGAGGTGAAGTTTTAGCTCTACCTAAAATGCTTTAGAAGGAAGGAAAGAAGGAGAGGAAAGAAGGAGGGAGAGAGAGGAGAAGAGAAGAGAGGGGAGGGGAGGGGAGGGGAGGAGAGGGGAAGAGGAGGAGAGGGGAGAGGAGAGAAGGAGGAACGGAAGAAAAGAGAAGAAAAATCCAAATGGAAGGATATTCTGCAAAAGTAACTGGCCTAGGCCGAGCGCAGTGGCTTATGCCTGTAATCCCAGCACTTAGGGAGGCCGAGTTGGGCTGACTGTGTGAGCTCAGGAGGTCAAGACCACCCCTGGACAACACAGTGAAACTCATCTCTACTAAAATACAAAAAATTAGCCTGGCGTGGTGGCAGGCACCTGTAGTCCCAGATACTTGGGAGGCTGAGGCAGGAGACTCGCTTGAACCCGGAAGGCAGTGGTTGCAGTGAGCCGAGATTGCACCACTGCACTCCAGCCTGGGCAACAGACTGAGACTCCCTCTCAAAAAGGAAAAAAAAAACCCAAAAACACTGGCCTGTATTTTTATAAAATGTCAATGTCATGAAAGATAAAGTCAGACTGAGGAAGCGTTCAGCGTGAAGGAGACTAAAGATGCACAACACAGTGTAATGCATAATGCAGGATTTTCTTTTACTATAAATGAGACAGACATAATCCAGAAATAATTTTAGTACATTATTAGGACAACTGGTGAAATCTGAATAAGGTATGTAGATTAAAGTATTGTATCAATGTTAGTTTCCCAGATTTTGATAACTGTTCCATGGTTGTGTAAGAGAGTGTCCTTATTTTTAGAAAATTAGGACTGGAGTATTTAGGAGGAAACAGTCATCATGTATGCAAATTTCTCCTAAATGGTTCAGAAAAATATAACCAGCAAATGTAATATCGAGAGACAAGGATAAAGCAAATGTGGGAAAATATTAACATTGGGGAAACTGTGGAAGGTATATGGGAATTCTTTGTAATAAAAAGAATTTTTCTTTTTCTTTTATTTTTTTTTTGAGGCAGGGTCTTCCTCTGTCACCTAGGCTTCAGCCTCAACTCCCCTGGGCTCAGGTTATCGTCTTGCCTCAGCTTCCCGAGTAGCTGGGACTACAGGCATGCACCACCATGGTTGGCTAATTATTTTTTTATTTGTTTTTAGTAGAGACGAGGTCTTACTATGTTGCCCAGGCAAGTCTTGAACTGCTGGGTTCAAGTAATTTATCCACTTTGGCCTCCCAAAGTGCTGGGATTACAGGTATGAACCATCACACCTGGCCAATTTTTCTGAAAGTCTGAAATTAAGTCAAAATTTTGAAAAAGTTACAGCAATTATGGCAATCTCAATTATGGGTAAATGTGTGTCACATTATCTTCTTTACATTTTAAGTATTTCATAATTTCAAAATAAAAAAAACTCAAGCAGAGCAAATTGTTTATAAGAGGAAACCTCAGAAGAGATGAGGCAGTTGTCAGCTGGTAGAAGGTTCCCTTTCAGGAAACTGAAACTGGGTGCCAGGTGGCTGCAGAGGGGGTGAGAGCTTGGCCCTCACCTCTCCACTGGAGCCTAGTGACCCCATGCAGATAACAACCTGCCCAACTCTTCAGCCCTGACCTGGCATATTTATCTATAACTGGCAGTTCTTCTCTGACAGGATAGATTAATAAGCATTAAAACACATCCAAAATTTATGTACCTATTGTTCATGCAGGTATGCTAGTGTTGTTCAGTCAGCATTTGTAAGACATTCATTGTAAACAAAGCACTGAATTAGACAGAAGAGATGAACAGAAAGATAAACAAGACCTGGCCAAATGTTGCCCCAAATCTATACCTGATTGGAGACAGGAAGGGCCTTGAGTGCCTGTGTGTCAGTAGTGATACTATTCACTTTCATTTTTTTTCTGCCACATTTCATTTTCATACCAATTCTGGTTAGTAGATTTCATTTATTCTCATTTTACAGATGAGAAAGACCAGAGACATTAGCTTGCCCAAAATTACTCAACTACTAAATGACAAAGCCAAGAGTATCATGTCCGAGCTAACATGTCTGACTCCAGAGTTCATGTTCTCTCCTTATCATCATATTTTATAAGTCACAAAAACATGAATACAGCAAAATTTCACTTACTCAACACTCCTGGGGATGAGTCATGCTGGACAGATGAGTAAGTGAAAGGCCATCCTCTGAGAAATATTATTCAAAACCTTCCAAGGTCTCTCTGGAGCAGAGAAGACTCCAGAAGCCTTTGGACAGTCTTTTCCTCCCTGTGGTTCTTTTCCTCTTGGGCTTCTGGGATTTCAAACTCGGCACATCTGGTCTCTCGGAGACACATCCTCCCTAAAAGCTCCAGCAGAAGATGGCCAAAGACCCCTTTTGCCTTTTCTGCTTCCCCAAAGCACAAATGAGAGACTGATAAATTCAGAAATAATTCTAATACCTACAAAATGAGAACAAAATAGGAAATACTTAAAAGCAGTCAGGTTCTCAAAGCACAGCTTTCTGATACTCACCCAGTCCTCTATCTTAAAACAATACCCCTTGGTTCTAGAGGGTGTGACGGCTATGCAGGTCTGTTTCTCATTTGTCAGCATTTTGCTATCTCCTGGCCAAGCAGCTGTCAGTATTTATCTTGTCCATAGTCCTAGAAATGGGTCTAATGATTCATTCTACTTTCATATGTAACCTCCCTGAATTTTAGTTTTGTCATCTGTATAAAAAGGGAATAAAAATATCTAACTCATAAAGACCAAATGGGGAAACCATGTACGCATATCACAAGCAGTAAGCACTCCTATTAGTTACCCAAGTCCAAACAGCTGGTAAGTAAGAGCTGGGACTCCATCTAGCCAGACTGGCTCCAGAATCAGTGTTTCTAATCACCTGTGGTGAAAGTCAACCACCCACACCTGCACTCCACTCAGTTTGCCTTTCTAGTTCATCTCTATCCGAAACCAGGGCCCACAAGCTGATACCACAGCAAGAACAGAATTGAGGGAAGAGAAAGAGCCTATGAATCCATCATATCATATACAGACGGTATAATTCACGACTAAAGATGCAGCTACTTTATAATATTCTGTACAGTTTGAATTCTTAGAGTAGGCATGTAATACTTTCATAAGCAATAAAAAACATACAAATTCACTTTAGGATAAAAAATTACCAAGCCTAGGAACTTTGGAAAGGAAGAAGGGATTGCATATAGTTTTCATTTGATGTTTAATGTCAGTTAAACTGCATTAAAACCACCTGTCAGTAAATAGTATTTTCTTGTATCATGACAGTGCCTAAGGGTTAAGAGTACACATGGGTTGAAGTTCAGTAACACTACCTTACTACTTGTTTGAACCTTACCTAACTTCTCTGTGTTCTCACCTATAAATGGGAATAATAATACCGATCATATAGAGGTATTGTTAGGCTTAAGACAGTATAAATGAGGTGCCTGGTATGGTGCCAGATTCATCACAAGCACTATTTTTCTTTCTACAGTATCACTTCTATGGCTGAAGAGTATCCCATCTCATGCGGATGTGTCATGATTCATTTACCCAGTCCCACACTGTTATTGATCATCTTCAATTTTGTCAATAATAGCACATTTTTTTCACATGCTTCTGTTTATTTCTTTAGGGTGAAACCCTATAAGTGAGATGCTAGATCAAACGATGAGCATTATAAACTTTTGACACACGTTATCTACCATAGTTTTACTAAGTTAAATCTTCTCTATGTTAAAGGTATTTATTCAGCTCTTACCAATGCTGCATATTATTTTAAAGATCTATGCTAATTTTATAGGCCAAAAAAGACACAAACAACTCATATTGTTACATACACATTTATTAGACATTTGAGTTTCTTCTTTTGTTATGTTATAAAGCTCTTGGGCTCTTTAAAGTATGACTTGGCACAAAAAGAGAAAAACAATTGAAGTATGTAAAGTTTTTAAGGTAGTATACTACGGAGGTGGCATTTCAAGTCATTTATAAGAGGATGAATTTTTCCAACGGGTTTTCTTTTTTTTTTGAGACGAAGTCTCACTCTGTTACCCAGGTTGGAGTGCAACGGCACAATCTCAGCTCACTGCAACCTCCGCCTCCCAGGTTCAAGCGATTCTCTTGCCTCAGCCTCTCCAGTAGCTGGGATTATAGGTGTGCACCACTGCGCCCGGCTAATTTTCATATTTTTAGTAAACATGGGGTTTCGCCAAGTTGGCCAGGCTGGTTTCAAACTCTTGATCTCAGGTGATCCGCCTGCTTGGCCTCCCAAAGTGCTGGGATTGCAGGCATGAGCCATCGTGCCCGGCCTTTCCAGTGGTTTTCAAAGTGCTCCTGGCAGCCTCCCATGAGGGAAAGTGTGGGAATGGGAGTAGGGGGTGCTGGCTGGTTGGGATAACTCTCAATCTTCCCCACTTCAACTACACTAATCTGTTCTACATACTGAATTTATTGGTAAGCTTTGATCTGAAGGGTTCCATACCTGAAAACAAAAACAAAAACACATTTAATGCAAGGTTTGGGAATAACTGGCATTTTTCAATCAATAAATACATACACAAAATGAGCTGAATGTCTTTTACATCATATACAAAAATATATTTCAACTGGATTAAAACATTAAATGGAAAAAAGCCCACAGAAATGACAACATAAGGAAGCATTAACTGATCTTGGGGATAAAGAGGACTTTTTCCAACACTCTGATAAAAGCAAAAACCATAACAAGAGGCACTATTGTCTGTATTGGTTTTTCCTAAAGTGTGCGCCTCTGATATAGGTTCAAAATGGTTTCATAGCCATAGAAGTGTGAAAATGCTACCTATCAATAATAGTGCAGAGAGGACCAGGCGCAGTGGCTCACGCCTGTAATCCCAGTAGGGAGGCCGAGGCAGGTGGATAACCTGATGTCAAGAGTTTGAGATCAGTCTGGCCAAAATGGTGAAACTCGTCTCTACAAAAACTACAAAAATTAGCCAGGTATGGTAGCAGGTGCCTGTAATTCCAGCTACTTGGGAGGCTGAGGTAGGAGAATCGCTTGAACCTGGGAGGCGGAGGTTGCTGTGAGCCAAGATCGCACCACTGCAATTCAGCCTGGGTGACAGAACAAGACTCTGTCTCAATAAATAAATAAATAAATAATGAAAATAGTGCAGAGGTGGTTTAGGGCACTAACATCCAATTATTTCTATCAGCATCCCAGATCACCATAAAATAAACACTCGATATGAAACAATGTGCAGGAGGACATAGTCCAGTGTTGTGTGCCCCCAGCAGACTCCTGACATTAAGCCTTTTTCCTAGACATTCTAGAGCCGTCACTATTGCTCTCTGGAGAGTCACAATGTCCTTAGCATAGAAAGGCTCTGAGAAGACCTACAGTGGAAAAAGAATAAAACTAATTTAGTCCACATTTGACTACAGAACTCTTCCTTCAACAAGATGCCTACTAATATCCATAGAATTCCAGGCTATGTGGAAATTAATGTTTGAACAGGAAAATGCTGTACCAGAGGTGTCCTTGTAAAAGATGTAGTCCATTTCCTGTGATTTTACTGATACTCAATTTGAGGCCCTCTTTGATGTAATCTGTGGATACCTAGTGCTGATGCTTTAACTTAGTATATACACATAATTTCCTACAATAAACTGCTGCCCACCTACTAAAAAACCCTGCTTGCAGACTGCCTTATATTTAAATTCTTATACATCATCACAATGCACTTATATCTCGGAATAATATGAAAGGATTTATTTAAATGATCCACTTAAAAAAGAAGTATGCAGGCTTGTGCTTTTGCTCTTACCTATTAAAATGTCTTCTGCAACTACAGATGTAGAAAGTATGTCAGGTACTTCTTATTCTGATTTTTATGTCATACAAAAGGAACTGAATTAGACTGTGTTTAGGAGACAGAGTTAAATGGATCAGAGAGAGACGAATCGGGCCCTTCTACAAAAACTCAAGATTCTTACTAGAATGAAGATATAACAAGTCTTTCACTTAATTCTTAAACTTTATATTCTTCCACCCTAAAAGCATCCTTCAGGTTCTAAATAAAGGGAAAATAAAGACAGGTAACAGGCAAAAATAATACAATTGCAGTGATAAGCATTCTCCTGCTACAACAATATTGGTTGTTTGGTTTTGCCATTTAAAATTAATAGTAACTCGGCTGGGTATGGTGGCTCACACCTGCAATCACAGCACTTTGGGAAGCTGAGGCAGGCAGATCACCTGAGGTCAGGAGTTCAAGACCAGCCTGGCCAACATGGTGAAACCCCATTTCTACAAAAATAAAATAAAATATGAAAATTAGCTGGGTATGGTGGCACATGCCTGTAATCCTAGCTACTCCGGAGACTGAGGCAGGAGAATCGAACCTGGGAGGCGGAGATTGCAGGGAGCTGAGATTGCGCCACTCCATTCCAGCCTAGGCAACAGAGTGAGACTCTGTCTCAAAAAATAAATAAATAAATACAAAAATAAACTAAAATCAATAGTAACTTGAATTGTAAAGTGTTAGGTTTATGAGTATTAAGATTCAACTTCTAATCTATTGTTTATTTTTATTTTAGAGACGGCATCTCTCCCTGTCACCCAGGCTGGAGTGCAGTGGTACTATCATAGCTCACTGCAGCCTCAAACTCCTGGGCTCAATCAGTCCTCCTGTCTCAACCTCCCGAGTAGCTAGGACTACAGGCACACACCAGTACAGCTGGCTAATTTTTAAAAATTTTAAATTTATTACTTGTAGAGATGGGGTTGACCAAGTTGGTCTTGAACTCCTGGCCTCAAGTAATCCTCCAGTCTAAGCTTCCCAACGTGCTGAGATTACAGGCATGAGTCACGGCTCCCAGGCCCTCTGTACATTTAATAATGTCAATGCAAAAACACCTGTTTGCACAAATACACTGCATTATTAACCTCCTAGTCTTCTGTTGCTAGCTTGAAATAACCAGATCTCAAATTTTAATAAAAATTCTGGCACTACAAAACCCCGGAAAGCCAGTTTTGTTTGACTATCACTTGATAAATCTTTAGCAGAGTCTTACTTTAAGACAAGGTTAGTATTTTTTGACTATTTAAAATCTGAATTATATAGTATCTAATTTAATTCTTACTGGGAACCAAAAAAAAAAAAAAAAAATCCTCATTGTGTATTTACTACTTTACTTACAGTGACTAAGTTTTTGCAAATATATGTAAGTACCTGCGTGTTATGTGAAATTTCTATTTTTAGTGGGAACATGGCACTGACAGTTACAGCACTGAGTTTGCCATGGGCTACTGTGTGACATGTGATGACTCAACTCTCCCACCTCTTTTCTCAAAATGATTGTGAAACCTTACACGTTTTGTCACAATGTTCTTTGGCTTTCAACGGATAAAAACAAAATCCTAAACTCTGTGAATTCAGGCACTCAAAACTTCATGTTTTAAGATGCCATCTGGAAAAAAAATCACAAATAATATGACTTTGCTTTAGATTAGCATCAAAATGACAACACAAACATTTTTAAACTGTAAAGAAATGGTGGATTCTCCAGGAACTTATGCTTGAATATCAGGCTGAAACACACTGCCATAGATGATAGCCATTAATTCATTCAACAATATTTATTGAGGCTATATATGCCTGGCACAGGGAATCCAACAATCAACAAACTGCCCACCCTTATGAAAAGCCTTACTAAAGAGTCTAGTGGGCAAGGACGACAACAGACAAGTAATCATATAATTCCTGATGATTAGTGGTGTAAAAAAAATGAGTGGGGGCCAGGCACAGTGGTTCACACCTATAATTCCAGCACTTTGGGAGGCCAAGGAGGGTGGATCACCTGAGGTCAGGAGGTTGAGACCTGCCTGACCAACATAGTGAAATCCCATCTCTACTAAAAATACAAAAATTAGCCGGGCGTAGTGGTGGGTGCCTGTAGTCCCAGCTACTCAGGAGGCTGAGACAGGCGAATTGCTTGAACCCAGAAGGTGGAGGTTGCAGTGAGCCAAAATCGCGCAACTGCACTCCAGCCTGGGCGACGGAGCAAACAAAAAAAAAAAAAAAAAGAAAAAAAAAAAAGAAAATGAGTGGGATAGGGGAAGAGAGAAAAAGGATAGAGGTGGTGTTTTAGAGACGTTGGTTAGAAAAGCCATCTCATTGGAACTGAGATTTGAGCTGACAACTATATAAATTCTACCTGGGAGGAGTTTTCCAGGCAGAAGAGCAAGTGCCAAGGTCCTAAGACAGGAATGTACTTGCAATGTTTGAGGACCCACGAGGAGGTCAGTGTGGCTGAAGCACACAAACCATGGAAATAATGTCAGAGAAGCCAGGTGCCAGATTATACAGGGTCCTTTATGTTGTAGTGATGACTTTGTTGGTCCTTAGAAAAGAAAAAGGATTGCAGGAGGCATGCTTCAGACAGACTGAGGATGGAACTTCTAGCTCTGGAACTCAATTTTTTTCTTTTACTTTTAAAAATCCACCTCATTGGGCCAGGCGCAGTGGCTCATACCTGTAATCCCAGCACTTTGGGAGCCCAAGGAGGGCTGATCACCTGAGGTCAGGAGTTCAAGACGAGCCTGGCCAACACGTGTTTTTTTTGAGATGGAGTCTTGCTCTGTCACCCAGGCTGGAGCGCAGTGGCGCAATCTCGGCTCACTGCAAGCTCTGCCTCCCGGGTTCACGCCCATTCTCCTGCCGCAGCCTCCCGAGTAGCTGGGACTACAGGCACCTGCCACCAGGCCCGGCTAATTTTTTTGTATTTTTAGTAGAGACAGGGTTTCACCGTGTTAGGATGGTCTCGATCTCCTGACCTTGTGATCCGCCTGTCTCAGCCTCCCAAAGTGCTGGGATTACAGGTGTGAGGCACTGCGCCTGGCCTATAATGTGTTTTTTAAAGAGGGAGGATTATGAAGCAAATATGCTGAAAAATTAACATTTGTTAAATCTAGTAGTGGGTGCACGAGTTTTTTTACATTATTTTTGTGTATACCTTTAAATGTTTCAAATCTTTTAAGAGAAAAAAGTAGACTTTCACTTAAAATGTTAAACAAGAAATGAGTGTGGTGGTACGTGCTGGAGGTTCCAGTTACTTGCGAGGCTGAGGTAGGAGGATAGTTTGAGCCTAAGAGTTCAACTCCAGCCTAGGCAACATAACAAGACCTTGTCTCTTAAACAAAAAATTACATAAAGTTAAAAAATTAAATGTTAAACAAGAAATATCTAATAACAAGATTGCTCATGATGTGATTACACAATACAGCGGAAAAACGATATGCACAGTATAAGAGTCAGTATAGCAGAGTGGTTCTGGCACCAGATTGCTTTGATTTTATTTTATTTTTTGTTTTCCTTTTTGTTTTTTGTTTTAAGGCAGAGTCTCATTCTGTCACCCAGACTGGAGAGCAGTGGCGTGATCTTGGCTCACTGCAACCTCCATCTACC